GTCGTCCACAGAAACAGTACAAGGTTCACTTTAGCTATCAGGAACCAGAAGACGACCGCTGGTTTACAAGATCTGAACTTCTAGAGACAGCTCCCGATATAGTCCGGGCTTACGAAAGACAGGAGAAAGGTAAAGGTCCTGCCTTGGACTGAAATTTTCTCGGAGGACCTCGAATTTAGGCCGGCGGGAGTGAAACGGTATATGGTAGCTGAGACAGATCCGAGGGCTCGATCCCTAGTTTCCCCAACTTACCTGTGTACAATACCTGCGTCAACTCAAAGAGTTGAACCTGCGACCTGTAGAACCGCCAGCGGTAGGTAGGTCTGTCGTAGGTCTATAGGTAGCCAGGATTCGAGCCGTAGATATGTAGGTTAGAAGGCTAGCTGCAGTCCCTCTAGAAGGTTGGCAAGTGGTCAAGTGGTGCAGGCAAGTGGGCAAGTGGTGTGACTAAAGCAAGCCCATGTTGGAAACGAGGACAAGTGGCAAGGGCAAATAGCAAGACCCCAGTGCAACTGCACTGCGTCGTAGGGTAGTCGCCATACAGTCATGGAAGAGTCTAGAAAGTTCCAGTCCGGTCCAGCAAGTACCACGGGGGGGACTGTGTGCACCATGGGCCAGGGATACAGGGCAGACCAACGGAGCGCAGAAGTATAAATCAAGAGGCTGCGTCCAACCAGGATATTCATTCAGTCGGAAGCCATGCGGTAGCGCTGCTACAGCGTCTAGTGCAAGGAGGTCTGCTGGAGGCCCGAAGACGAAGGGGGCAAGAGTGAAGCACTGTAGCCATAGCGATAGGCAGTGGCAGCCATAGCTGCCATAGCTCAGTGTAGAGTGCAGAGTGGGTGTACTGTGTGTGTGTTGGGTATGAATACTGAGTGTGCGTGTGGGACATCCAGGGTGATCCAGAGTGCGAACAGTGAGTTGTGTGGGCGCTCAGTCGCCATAGCCAGTTTAAGGAGAACTCTTACCAGGTTACGATATCCTTGAGTACTGTGTGGGCGCAGGTCGCCAGTTTGCTGTTTCGCTATTTGCATGCATGACAAGAGTGAAGAAGTCGAGTTCGATTGCAAATCAACCAATCAATCAATTAGTTGATTGATTGATTGATTGATTGACTAATCGATTGATAGATTGATTGATTGATTGATTGATCTTGTGTGCCCGTGATTGATCTATGTGCGTGTGTGTGTGTGAGTCCACCACTACTACTACTACTACTACTGCCGTGCTGCAATTGTATGCACCTCACTTCGTGAATTGTATGCACCCCACTACTACTACTACTACCGAGAGAGAGAGAGAGAGAAAGAGAGAGAGAGAGAGAGAGAGAGAGAGAGAGAGATAGAGAGAGAGAGAGAGATAACACACACAAGCACACAGATCAATCAATCAATCAATCAATCAATCAATTAATCAATCAATCAATCAATGAATTAACCAATTAACCAATCAATGAATGAGTTGATTGTTTGATTGATTGATTGATTGATTCATTGATTAATTGATTCATTGATTGATTGATTGATTAATCGATTATTTGATTGATCAGTAGGCGTGTGTGTCC